TAGCTGGCTGGGGAATTCTGGAAGTTGAAGTCCACACATCTCCAAGCTGCCAAGGTTGAGAAACCCTGATCTAAAGGGTTTAACCTGAGCTAGAATTCAGTACTAGGACTTGTTCTGTAAACTTTTAACTGAAATCACATAAAAGAAGTTTTCAGTTGTCTTTAATTAATTAATAGAATAAATTAATTTAATTAATAGAACTTTAATTAAGTGTTCTAAATAAAATACGAATTGGCTACCCCTCTGAAATATTAATTTTTAAACTAGACTCCATAAAACACGCCACAGCAACCCGGTTTGAATATAATGCAACACTACTATTTATTTATTTGAACAGATGTATATCACTGCCCATCTTGCAACAGCGACTCAGGGCAACTGAGAGAGCATTTCAAATGAAAATCCTCACAATACAAAATAAAGAACGATATAAAAAACACGTAATGGCAACCAGGGATCAATAGTAAATTAACACCCTCTCTGTGATGGAATGGACTTATGAAGGCCAGGCTCAGGGAGATAAGCGTGTTCTTAGTCCCCAACAGGAGCGTGGGAAGTCCAAGAAGATGAGGCTGGCACCTCCCTAAGGAATTCACGGTGTTGTGGCTTGCTGGCTTGGGAACTTGGGTTCAGTCTGGTGAGATTCCTGTCCTGAGGTTGAAGCTAATGAATGCAGCAGAACTGTATTTGCATTGTCTCGTGGAGTTCTTTGGGCTGAACCTGACACTCTCACAGGTTCAGTTAACCTCCTGAGCCCCACGCCTGGGGAAACTTCCAAATATTGAAGGGTTTCTGAAAAGCCAGCAGGGACTGAGCAACCAAATCCTGGGGGAGGGAGGAGGCAGTGAGATGTCAGTATATTCCAGAGGGTGCACGCTGCAACTTCCAGCCCTTCAAGGCTGCCAGACACAAAGCACTACAATGAATATTAGTTGTATCTTTATTGTACGGTTACACTAACAAAATCTTGCAAGAGTGAAAGTATTTCTCCCCTCCTTTCCTTTTACTCCCCAGAAAACTAGGGAGGGTCCCTTCCGTGATGCTTCCCACACCTCTCCTCCTTCTGGGGGCCGAGACATCTTTTGCAGGCCTGTTGTCCCATCTGCGGCTCTTCCTCCTGCCTCCCAAGGTCGTTCCCATAGTCCATGAAAAGTACAGAAAAGGCCCACTTCCTGCATCCGCCAGTTCATACTTTCTAATAGAAGGAACCCCAAGCATGCCCCTCCTGTTGGACTTAATGGGAGAATTAATGGATTCTCATATTGCGCTAAACTAGAAACAAACGAACCCCAACAGGGCTGGCTGTTATGTGCAGGCCAAGGCCAGATGGATGAGTTCTGGAACATTGCTCCGTGTTTTTGAAACCTGATAGATCCTCTATGTGTGAAAAGCTTTCCGTTTCTTTTCTTAGTCGCTTAGTTGGCAGTCTTTTGAGTGATAAATATATGACATATCCGTGCACCAACTCTGTCTACTTGGATATGCTTTAATTTTGTTTATGCTGTTAACATTTTGCTAATCTTTGCCTAGCATTAGTTAAGAGGTTCTATTTAAAAAACCTTTTTTTCCCAGGTGCAACTTTTTATTTGGACTTTATCGGAGAGGATGTACTCCATATTTGTATGTTTGCCTTGGGGTAAGTTTGCCATGTTAATCTAGCTCATGGGCTCCGGGTACCCTCTGTCTCTTGCATTTGCCTTTTCCCTGCTTGGCTAGGTGGTTCTTCTTCTTCTTTTTTAATGTATTATGGCTATCTGAAGGCTACCTTGTGCATCTCTTTCTACTGACATGACTGCATATGGAAAAGCTTGTCAGTTCAGAGTTGGGAAGTCAAAGGACCTTTTTAGGGGTGGAGAAGTCCAAGAGCTCTTATTCCTGGAGAGGATGCATAAGAGCAGGGGGTGCTGTTCCTTTGAAGAACATCAGAGGCACATGTCAGATCTTCACCTTCCTTTCCTCTCCCCTGGGCCTGTATCAGCTACACTGCGAGGAGGAGGAGGAGGAGGAGGAGGAGGAGGAGGACTTTCTGCTAAGTCTCCTGATGCTCTTCCTTTTCTTAGGAATTTATTTTTAGCTGGTGCACAACTACCCTGAGTGAGTGAATGAGGTCTCAGTAAATTTCTCTGAGGGCAAGAGGGGCGCTTCAGCCCTCCCCATGGCTTTTGCAAAGAATTAAATTTAGTTAGAACTCTTTTTGACATTCCTGCTCTTCACAAATGCTTCACTTGTACCCTGAATAGTCTTATAAAAGCATCTGGGAATGTTTACTATATTGCTTTGCCCTATGAACTGTCTTAGCATGTAGGAAAGCAAACAGCTTTTTGAATGTCTTGTTGTCAAAAGAAATCTGATGATTCACTTTCTGTCAGGTCACCGTGTAGCTGACTAAGATTTTTAACTGTCACCACTTCCTCTCTGCCATCTGTTTCAAAATTCTTTTTCTTGTCCTTTTAAAATCTCTTTCAGATGCCTCGTTGCATTTTTAGGTGTCTTCCTGATCACTAGAAACAAGAGGAAATCGATCTTTTTTGAGCCTTATATCTCCATGGATGCAATGCCAAGTAATCCTAAAATCCAGTACCTTTTTAATAAGCCAGTAAAAACTGACAGGCTTTTGAAAAAGTTAGTCTATTCCATCCCCCACTCCCCACTTTATTATTTGGTTGCACCACTTGCTCTAGATCAGGTACAAAAAGTGGGGTGCATAAAAGTATGGATGAGACCGTTTCTTGGTCCTGGTTATGTTGATGTCATGAGTGTTCTTGATGTAATTTATGTTGTTTCTCATTTTGATTACTTTCCTTGTTCGTTCTGCTTTTCTCCTGTTTTAACAGTTAGCCACCCAGAGTCGTAGATATGAGATGAGTGGCCAGATAAATGAGTTTATTAAATAAATAAATACATTTTCAGAGTCCCCCTTCATCCATTTTAGATTTGTTTTGGAGTGTTGAGGGAGGAGTTTAAGGGGCAAAAAGTTGCTTTAGGCCTTGCAGAGGATGAAAACACTAGCTCACCCCTTAGGAACCCAGGACCAAATGCAGCATTCTGACTTGAGAAGGAGGTCCATAACTTGGGTATCTCAGTAGATGCTTGGCCTCTCTTCTCTCTCTCTCACCTTCTCTTAAAGTGTCCCAATCCTGCTGCCCTCCAATGTGATGCAACTCCAGTTCCCAGACCAGCTAGGTCTCAGAATGTAGGCTTTGGGGATCAAGGCTTTCGAAGATGAAATTAGAGTTTAGGTAGATTAATGGAAGTGGCAAGTTAAAAGGGAGCAAATGAGTTTCTCTCTGTTTTCAAGTCTCTACATTTAAAAGCCACCTTTGTCCTTCCCTCGGTCTTCAGGCATGCAGAATCTGCACGACAACGGAACTGCAGTTCAACCTGACCTCAAAACGTCTTTCTCCTACGGCGCCTTGGAGAACAATGATAGCATCTCAGAAATTTACACTCCTGCAACCTTAACTGTTGTCCAGGAAGAACATGCTTCCACAGGAGCCTCTGCACATTCCTGCCAGCTCATGGCGCACAGCAAAAGCGAGTGAATGCTCTTTGAAGGAATAGCGTAGGTGTGACTGTCTATTTATTACCCCTCCCTTTGTCTTATTTCACTCATTGAGCCCAAAAGGCAGCTGAAGTAGGGATGAACTCCTATAATAAGCCTAAAGAAAAAAAAACATGCTCATTAAGAGTCATGTACCTGCAGATACAGACGTATTCCACGTTAAGCTGAATTGCATTGGGATCTGAACAGCTGCATCAAAGGAAATGCGAAGGCATTAGAATAGCTAAATAGGCCTTAAGTAGGTGAATACAGATGCTCTGTTACAAAGCCGTGGTTTCATTGGGATAGTCGTATAGGGCAGCTCTACACCAAGAATTTTGTGTCTTTTAAAATCAGACAGAATGGTATTCTCCAAGAAGTGCGTATTGGGCATTCCCCAGGCCGAAAACAAATTCTTTCCCCTTTTCCTGTTGCCGTGGCTAACCAGAGATGTATTGATGCAGTTCACCAGTATCCCCTCTGTTTCATTTTGTATATCTTGTTGCCCCAAGCCTGGGAAAGGGGGGGCAGGTTACATTTCAAGTGTTCCATTATCCTGGTCAAAATGTTTGGTCGCACAGTGCAGCATTTTCTCCCATGATAGTCACTGAAACTGACTATCATGGGAGAGTCAGCAGCATAATTGAAGATGCATCGCCCTTGAGGACTCATGTCTTTTGGATCGGTACACATCATGATCCAGTTTGGGTCCAACATTGGTCTACAACCCCAGGTGTTGAGAATGCGATGATGCATGTTTGGCTAACCCAAAGACTACCATCTTGGAATCCTACTGTTTATGTCTGTGGTTTTAATAAGTGCCCTGAATATGAATTTCTGCACTGTGATGTTCTTTGCATTAGGCCTGGTCTTCATATTTATCAGATTGGGGCAATTCAGGATGAATTGCATCATTTCATATTACTGTTCGGAGGCTGCATTTGAATGCTCCTTTGTGGATTAAAAATGCTTCCCTGCAAATAAAAAGAAAGCCAGCTTCTGCAGGCGACAGAGAGTTGTGACCAAAACATTCTTCCTTCTTTCCTGCGTGTGATATTTCCATTTATATGTGCAGGAATTATTTATATGGGGGAGCATTTAAAAAATCTGGTGCTTCAGCCTTCAGTCTACAGTACTGCAACCTGTTCTGTATCTCATGCTATTGTGGCTGTAGGCAAAGACATTTTTTTTCCTGCAAGTTTTTGTTTTTTTAAATACATATTAGGGTTGTATCTCCTTCTCCCCAACAGATGACAATGCTTAGACGACCTTGGCTGATCTTAAAAAATCTTAAAAAGCTAAGCTGCGTTAGACCTGGTTGAGGATGGAAGACCAGTGAGAAAATCCTAGAGTTGTAGGATGTACTGGGAAATGTAAAAAGCACCCCAGAAAATATAGAAAACCCACTTCCATAATGTGGTCAAGAGGGAGGCTTCTCACTTTTCAGATTTCCATTGGTTGCCAGTTGAGATGAATAGGTTTCAACCCTGGCTTCTTGGAAGAATTAACACGAATGTAAACTTTGCTGCAGTTTTCAATGCCCTCTGGAGTCTGAATGGAGCACATCATAGCATTTTGGCATAGTTCCACGGAGTGATTTGCACTTAAGACCCATGGAGACCCATGAGCAGTGTGAAATAGAGGATGTTTGTTCTGTGTTGAAAAACTGTACTGTTCCCCCCCCCCATTTTTTTTTAAATTCTTACTGGTTTGCACTGTTTGGAAAAGGTTTGAGCAGAGAGCACGATTTAAAAGAAGATGGCCCAAGTAAATGCCTTGAAGCCAAAAATGAATTGAACTAGAGGAGGTCAGTAATTAGACTCTCTTGAGTTCTCTTTAAAGAAGTCAAAGAGTTGGCTGTCATTCTGAGTAAAAATGCTTGGTCAGGGGACAAACATACCCAACTTTTTCATTGTGTTCAAAGCTGGAGGATTGGATCTTGGAGAGCTTGTGTTGTGTCCTACATCTTTTTCCCTTCCTTGTCAAGTGTAATTGATTGTTTGGGCACTTACGCTTCAGGGAGACATCTTGGCAGTTCCCTCTGTTGATGTCTGCTTCAGAGGGGGAGCAAGTTACTAGATTGTTTAAAAACAAATCCTGCAAAAGATAAAAGTCTGAAAACAATTTTGTGGCAGGGAACTTTAATATACATGGGGACAAATAATTATATTATTGTCTTGGCTCTTAAGCACCAAAAAGATTTTATACAGGTATTCCATTCATCTTTTTTCTTAATTTTTTGGGATTGACTTTTGTTTTTCTGGTTGGGAAATGCTACATTTCAAAGAGATGCTTCTTGTCCCTGAGGCTTTCCATATTGCATGGCTCTTGACACTCTAATGTAGGCCTGATAGTCTTTTGAGCACCTGCAACAAATGTCTTTGGCCTGATCTGAAAATCAGTACAGGAATGGGGTGGACTGAATTTACTGCCCAATTACTTGAGGAGAGAAGATGACACCTTGGAAAAACCTCTTTTGGATCCCTGGGATTCCAGGATGATCCATACTCAAGATCCATCATATACTGAGACTCCGTATCTGTTCTGAGAAAGGCTTTGATTCGATCACCTTTAGTAGACTGGTTGTTGTTTCTGTTTCCTTTTGTATGCTCCCCAATGCCACCGTCATCTAAAACAATGTTTTTCAAACTTGGGAACTTTAAGATGTGTGGACTTCAACTCCCAAAATTCTCCAGCCAGCATCTTAAAGTTCCCAAGTTTGAAAAGCACTGATCTAAAACATCCTTAAAATCTTCAGCTTTCTTTTTGATTATTGCTTTGATATCTTCTGGAGATATCTATAGAGAATGGGATTTCTTTCCATGCCATCAAATCTTCTCTAATAGCATATTTATATTAAATATTTATATATTTAGGGGTAACTGCAAAGGAGAGAAAAAAAACAACATCCTGGGTAACTGATCTGGGGATTATTTTCTGAGCATGAATTGTTTGGGAATCTCTCTTCAATTCTTCTCGTGGAGACAGCTAATAAGTCAAGGTCTTTTTCAGGATGATAACTAACATACTTCTTGTCTCACTGACTTCTAGAATGTCAAACACATCTGTTGACTGAGTGTACTGTCTTCACAATGGTATGTGTAAATTAAACAGAGCTCTATGACATAAAGACGGAGAAGGGCATCTTTTGTTCAAAGGAAGCATTGCACCCAGCGGGTGGGGAAATAAATTGGATGAGAAGCCATCTTGAGGACCATATGGGTAGAAAGGCAGGCTAGATGGTGAAATAAGTCATGAAAGCGAGCACAAGGGGAGATGTTGGCTGAACTTGGGGGCGCCTGAATGGGAGCAACTACTCATATGAGTATTGTATTCCATATATGCCATTTTGACACACAGGACCCTGAGATAGATAGGAATTTTGAACATTTACCAATCTAGTCTGCGTTCAGGTCACTGTAGTTCTTACCCAGAGGTATGAACGTCCCAGAACATCCCAGTCAATAACATCAGAGATATTATCCAGCCAGCTTGCATGAACCAGTTAAGTAAGTACAGGGTACTGATCCAATGTCTGTCACAGCCTATAAGGAGGAAGTGTCTACATCCAGGTGTAGATTTCCTGCACAGGATGGGCCACATCTCTGGCTGTAGGTGGCAGGTAACAACTATAACAATAATGGCAGAGGGGCAACAGCCCAGCCCTGCTAAAGGCACCTGGCACTTCCAGGGATTAAGCATGGGGAGGGGAAGGGAGGGGGCGCACTGCCCACTCCCACCCAAAGTGTACAGGAGAAGGGGTAGTCCTCTCTGCTATGGGCAGAGCGCATGGGCCCTGCCTGCTCTGCCTCCCACTGCTCAGGATTTAGTTGTTGCCTAATTTAGATAGCAACCCTGAACAGTTTATTAAATCATGATTTATTGAATAAACCAGTCAGCATTGTCTTCCATTTTTAATCCTCTTACCTCAGCAAGTACAGGTTTGGAAACATGCTAAGGTTTCATCCTCTGAATGAATGCAAAAATGTAAGATGTGGCTGTCATGCTAATGAAACTGATGGTGACCCTGACAGATGCTTGAGCTAAGCAGTTGTTAAGGGAGATTTTAAAATAGAAGTTCTGTCAGGTCCATCTTGTTCAACTCTAAAGCATACAGATTGGAAGGCTTACAGATAATATTTTTAATGCAGTTGAGCTGTTGACTCTAATCTGCCAGTGAAATACTTGCCAACATAATTAACACTCTATGGATTTTATTCCACGGAAGCAAATAGAAATTAACTCTGAGAACATTTTTTTTTTAATCATTTATATTTGGGAACTGAATTACCAGTCAGGAAAAAAGGCAACGGAAGCCAACTGTCTGATTATGGGGTTGATTTGCTGATAGAGGCCACAAGCTGGATATGTATGGAAAAATGCAGGAATCAGAGAAGAAATTATTATAGGATATGTAAAACAGGGCACGTGTAGGCAAATATCTTTCTGCATTAAAACATGTAACAAGTCAATTATATAATCCTAACTATGAAACAAATTGTACAAATTAACAACAAATCAAACCAGGAAAATGACACAGCACACAGGAGAATATAACCATTTTAATGTATGGAGGAAAAAAACGTATATTTATGGTTTGTTTAACGATGGCTGGTTTCAAACAGCATGCTGAGTTGTCTTAGAGGAATGTGCAAGCCCAGCCATTGTGAATGGCAATCCATTGGGTCAGGTCACATTTAGAGCTAGCCATTGTGAGAAGCTGCACGTCGATTGCTAAAACAGCTCTGGTAATCCAATTAGGAGGTGGCTGGGGTAAGTTTATCCTCCTTAGGAACTGGATCTATTATCTTCTGCATGCAAAGATAGTGCAGCTTCATTTATTTATTTATTAACTCATTTTCCCATCTTTCCTTTGGCACCCCAAGGTGGTATAGCTGCCCCCCAAAAGAGCTATACTGTTTTTTTCCCCACCACAACTGTGGGAGGGAGATTTGGCTGAGAGAAAGCAAGCCTTGGTGGCTGAAGGGGGACTAGTACCTCAGTCTCCCTGCCCCTAGTCCAACACCTTCACCACTTACTCCTTACTGGTTCTTGGACTGAGAGGGAGGGACTGACCCAAAGTCCCCCAGTGAGTTTCTGTGGCTGAGGGGGGACCTGAGTCTCCCTATTCCCAGTCCAGTGCATTAAGCACTCCACACTAGCATATACAGCGGTTCTTAAAAGTTTGTGAACCCTTCTGAATGTTCAATATTTCTGCATAAATATGAACTAAAACGTGATTGGTTCTCCACACAAGTCCTAAAACTAGATCAAGGGAACCCAATTAACCCAGCGTAAGAACTTTATTCCATCTGTGAAACCTGGTGGTAGCATGTTTGGGCCAGTTTTGCTGCTGCTGGACCAGGACGGCTTGTCATCATGGATGGAACTATGAATACCAGCAAATGCTACAGGAAAATGTCACAGCATCTGTCTGTGAACTGAAACTCAGGAGAAAGTGGGTCATGCAGCGAGACAGTGATTCAAAACGCACACATTGTACAACCAAAGAATGGTTAGAAGAGAAGAAAGCTGATGTTTCGGAACAGCCAAGTCAAAATCTTGACCTTAATCCTAGAGCAATGTTGTGGAAAGAGCTGAAGTTCACGCGAGGAAACCCACCAACATCCCTGAGCTGCAGCTGTTCTGTAAGGAGGAATGGGCTCAAATTCCTCCAAGATGACGGGCAGGACCGATCAATGGTTATTGGAAACATTCAGTTGCAGTTCGTGCTGCCCAAGGGGGCACGCCAGTTACCGAAAGCAAAGGTTCACATACTTTTGCCAGACGCAAACAGGTCGCTTTGGATCATTTTGCTGAATATCGATGGACTTATTTGTTTAATTGGGTTCCCTTTATCTAGTTTTAGGACTAGGACTATCTAGTTCAGTGTTTCTCAACCTTGGCCACTTTAAGATGTGTGGACTTCTACTCCCAGAATTCCCCAGCCAGCCCCTGTGGCTGGGGGATTTCGGGGGTAGGAGGTCAAACATACTAAAAAGGCCACGGGTGAGAGAAACAGGAACAGAGAGATCTCGACTTA